CCAGCCCACAAGCTATCATTAGAACAATGACTAAGGCTAATTAAAAGGGATATCATTTTACTCTGCCTTTCCCCAGCCCAGGTTTTTCTCTCCCATGACTTTCCATCCCCAGTGTCCCATTAGTGCAGTTCTCTAGGGCATACAAAAGCCCTGAGTTTTTTGTTTTTTTTTTTTTCTCAGAATCCATCCTTCTGCACAAGTATGGTATCTTTCTCAGCAGCCTGGCATACAATGTGAAGTTGGCTCTGGCTCTTGAAGGTTCTGATCACACCCTTTCCACCAATGGTGGAGTGTAGGTTAGACTTGAAAGAAGGTTTGACATTATTTTGTTCCTTAAAAAATATTTATTTGGGGCTGGAGAAATGGCTCAGCAGTTAGGAACACTTGTTGTTCTTGCAGAAGACCCGGGTTCGAATCCCAACACCCACATGGCAGCTCACAACTGTCTGTAACTCCAGTCCCAGGGGATCCAACAGCCTCTTTTGACCTCCGTGGGCATTGCATGACAGGGGTGTACTTACCTACATGCAGGCAATACACGCATACACATAAAATAAAAATAAAATATAAAAAATTTATTTATGTGTATGCGTGTATTACCTGCATGTAGGTAGGTATACCCTTGTCTGACCCACAGAAGTCAGAAGGGGGCATCAGATACCCTGGAACTGGAGTTATGGATGACTGTTAGCTGCCATATGGGTGCTGGGAATTGAACCCATGTCCTCTGCAAGGGCAGCCAATGCTTTTAGCCATTGAGCCATCCCTCCACCCCCAGTTTGACATTATTTTGGACATGGAACTATCATCCTTTCCAGAAGTTTGGAATTATGAGATATCAAAGTTACAAAATCATCTTGAAGTTCATCCATAGGTGCGTTCCTTATAGAACTGAGGAAGCTCGAGGCAAGGTGGCTCATTCGAAGTTGCCCAAATCATGCCTAGGCCTCCTGAGTCCCACTCCTTAGGCTGGCGTTCAAGACTCACAACTGACACTAATCTGAATTTTTATGAGGTCCTCTGCCATAATTCTGCATATCCCCATTTCTGCAACTTAAGTAGACCTCCTATGGTTCCACAAGCACGCATCATCCTTCTGTTCTTTTGTACACCTGTACTTTTCATCTGGAATCGTCTCTCTGACACTTTCCCCCCAAATTTATTATAAATTTTCCATCGGTGTCTCACCTCACACACACTGTTGTTACAGTTTAGATCATTAATCCTGGCCACATTTGAAGTTTCCTGCTAGATTGAAAGCTCCTTGAGAATAAGAGTTTTGTGGCATAATTTTCAAAATACTCCAAATATATTTATTGCATTTAAGAATGAATGGCACCATGCTTTTTGTGCTTTCCAGAATTTGGGGAGGTACTAAGGATGTGAGGCTTCAAAACGGGGAGACAGACAGACATTGTAACAGTCAGGAAAACCTTACCTTTCTGAAGACCTCAGCCTCAGCCTCATGGTGTGTTGAAGAGATCTGTGCTCACGGCACCCATGGCACCCATGTAGTCCTGTTGGCACTTGTTTTATTCGCTACATTGTGGCAAAGGTCCTGTGTGAGTCTGACCGGCAATCCTCTAGTGGCCGTAGATTGGAGTAAGAATTTATTATCTCCCATTTGCTCATTGGAGTCTCAGGGCTGTCTTGAATGCATTCTTCTTCTTGAGACAGTCTTTTTACATACACTCCACTATTACATTAATGCTCCAAGCTCAGGTCCAGTTGGTGAAGAAATTAGCAAAGATTTACTTGTCTTGTGTGATTTTTCATTAGCTGATCAGGCCAGATATAGCATAAGTATGAATAAGTTCCTGGTTTGGCATTTGAGCCCTTTTGTGTCAGATCCTGACAGGAGAGGGAACATTGTCAAGGAAGAAGCTATTGTTCTGTAATTATCTTGAAACTAAAATTGATGAGTGTCCTTGGCAGGCCTGGTCTCTCTTTCCTTCACCCTTTGCTCTCCTCACTGAACCTAGGCTGGGCAAAATCATGATGTCACCATTCATAGGGACGGACAAGAATAACCTACAGAAGGATTTTGTGGTGGGCCTGGAAGCTACTACCAGAGACTGTGTGCTCATCCTATTGCCCCACTACACCTGCTCTTTGTTTGATACCCCCGTGCCTAGAACTGCACAATGTAACACTCTTCTTTGTCACTGAAAGTTTTAAGCTACTCAAAGATATGAAGTTTCTTAGTGATCCAATGAAGATGTTCTAGAATTAGATGGTGGAGACGGTTATACAACTTAATGAACATACACCAAAAAAACTCAGTGACTTAAAGGGTGACTTTATGGCATTTAAATCACATCTCAATTTAAAAATAAGTCATGGGATACTATAAACTTTCACAAAAGATTAGAGTATTATAGCCTTAAAGCTCCTAAAAGACCATGTGGACTTTCTACTTTAGTGCTCCCTCTCTCTGTTTGTTCTGAGGTCATGGTGGCTGCTGGTGTGACAGGGGCTGAAGGAATCTTAATAGTTCATCCATCTCAGTCCCTGTTCTGTGCCAGGTTGGGGTGACCTTGGTCTAGGTATTTCATAATCTTTGCTTCCATGGTTAGAGCCTGACCTACTTGAAGATGATCTCCTGGGAAACAAAATCCAGTTTGCTAAATGATTTAAAGGTACGGGTGCTAGATCCTTCTGACTTGTTATGGAGAAGGCCAAGTGACACCCGGAGCTGCATGGAGTAAAACCAAGACTGAGTTGGGGACAGTACAGAAAGGAAGCTGGATTTGATCTTGCCATCACGTGCCCTATGAGGAGCTGGAATGCTGATGATTTTTATGTCTCTGGTAAGAAGCAGAGAGTTTGTTTCTCAGAACAATGGTAGAACAGGGGCTTGATGGAGGGCCGGTTCCGAAGGGTCTTTGAGTACTTGATGTGAAGGTATGAGGAGTGTCTGAAGAAAGATATATTCCCAAGTGCCTGAGAACATTATTAGGCCCACACTCAAGCTTTATATGGCTCCTGTTGCTCTGTGTATCTTCAAAGATGCACCCAAAGGTAATTCCTTACCTGTGAAATGTGAAAAGTCTCCTTAGATAAAATGCTGACATGAGAAATCTGAACAAGCACTCCCCTTAACAAATGGAGCTATGTCTTCTGAAAATCAGGTCTGAGGTGCAGATATTCCATTCACAGTTCCCTTGCTCACTGCAGCTCCCTGGATGCTAGGCCAATCACACGCCAGATCATGGAAGACTTACCAATCCAATAGATGAAAGAGGCTTTTAGGCAATGGAGAAGAGGGACTAAGCATGGGAGGGGGCACCAATTGCTTTGTCTTGGCAACCTTGCCTAACAGTCTTAAGTTTATTACTCTCCCTGGTAAGTGGGATGATAGGGTAAGAGAAGCAATAATATCAGTGTCTTTCAGAGGTTGGCCAATGACTGTGGCCCGTGTAGAACCTCAGTGACTTATAGAGAAGACAAGCAGATGTGTCTATCCGTCACCTCATCTTCTTCGGCCTTCGATGCCTGAGCATCCTTTCCCCACTTCTCTACCTATGAAAAAAGAAGTCTTCTTACCATTCACCAGGCATCGTCTTCCTCAGAGAAGACCACTTCCTTGCCCTCTTATACCCTCTATTGAAGCAAATTCTTCCTTCCATGTTCCTATGAGGATTCTGTATGTGCATTTGCTGATGGTGGGCTGTTCTAAAGCACCGTGGAGGTCCTCATTTCAATTATTACTTGAGTGCCTGAACAGGGACTGATGTGTAGTTCATGCCCAGTGTTATATGTATTAAATGAGAGGCTAAATCAATAAATAACACTAGTCTGCCCTCTCACAAATAGCGAAAGATAGTTATAAACTCCATAAATATTTAAAATTGCTTTCCTTTTTATGGTTGTGATACTTGATGAGAATATATTCTAAATGTGTCTATTAAATCTTTTTTATATCTGTGGAATAATTTTTGGCTAAAGGTGATAAATTTTGAAAGACGAAGCATGCCTTATAAAAAAATGAAATTTTATAAAGCGCTGATTTGTTAAAGTATGTTCAGCAGACCACTGGCCCCCTTTTGAGGTAGCAACCACTGTTAAAGGAAAAATGGCCTGAAGGCTAAACGAAGGGCTGGAAAGGCTAGGTTAATCTGGTTTCTCTACTGTGGAATGTCTCAGAAAGCTGATGTGATATTGCTTTGGAATGAAAGAAAGAGGGATGTGTATGCAGGGTATTTCTGCTGCACTGTCACAGTCCCTGTTACATTGCAGAGGACAGAGTACGTTTTTGATATTTTGCTGTCGATGATGGCCCAGTGCTCTGATCTAGATCTTTGGGAAACAAGTAAGTGTATCTGTGATAAAGGCCCAATTCCCATCACCTCCTTCATGCACACGACCTCTGCTTTGCAAAACTGAAGAGAAATATGAAAAGGAATTAAAACATTACTTTACTTGTCATAGCGAGTTATCAGACATCTCCGGTGGACTATACAGCAAATGAATGTGGTTTTAGTAATAGCCTGCCAGCCCCAGTAGCTCTGCAGTAACCTCCCAGGACTATTCCATAAATGCCAGTTCTCTACACAGTAATTACCAATTCTCTCTTTCGGAGATTCACTAGTGTGTCTGGGAGAAATTGCTGGGGAACTCACACGTCCAAATTTATAAGAGACAAACAACCTTGCGTTTACCTCAGGGGGTTATCAGGTATTCAAATTTTGTCATGTAAAGGATGCTATTGATCACAAGAACTAGTGGGAAGAACTTGGGTTTTCACCTCAGTACTTCTCTCAGAGGGTGAGATTCTGGCTCACTAGCTTTATCATGGGGAGACTTATAGGGGGTAATTCTCTCCTTCTCAGGATCTCTTGCCTTTCTTGATTTTTATAAGTAGCGGAAGTCTGACCTAACTGTAGTCAGAACCCTTTGTTGCCCATAGATAGAACTGGCTAGCTGGTACCAGTAGCTAGGAAGCTGAAAACTTGGTCCAGTCCAAAGTCTCACCTGTGCCTTTGGTGTTTATCCTCTAGAGATCTCAGGGAACACAGAGGACATCCCTCTGGTGCGTTGGAGGCAGCAATGGCTGGAGAATGGTACTTTGCTTTTTCACATACATCACCAAGACGGTGCCCCAAGTCTGCCTGGACAAGACCCAACGGAAGAACCCCAGCATGAGTCAGCAGAAGAGGAACTGAGGATCCTCCACATCTCAGTGATGGTAAGAACAGCATAACCATAGCCTTCGGGCCACACATAGCTTATATTAACTTCAACGTTGAGTCTTCATGCCTTCAGTATATGAATCAGTTTTCCATTGTTAGAACAAGATATACAAGGTAGATGACTTATGAAGATGCCCACAGGTCTGGAGGTCAAGGGCATGACATCTGCATCAGTTCAGCTCTCCTGAGGGCCCTCTCAGCTATATTGCATCATGATAGATGGTAATGACAGGGGCATGTATGGAGGAGGTCACATCAAACAGGAAGCCAGAGAGGCTATGGTGCTACAGTTTCCTTCAAGGGCATGCTGCTAGTCAATGTGGTCCCATTAGACTACACCTCTTAAAAGTTCCGTACCACCTTGGGGGGGACAAGAAACATTCAAACCACTATACTAGACAAACCGTGTAATATCCAACTCTGTGAAGATCATTGATTATGATGATAAATAAACTTCCCATTTTGGGAGAATGAATACACTTGTGCTGTAAAAATTGCAGCCATTTCTACAGTATCACTCTCCAAGTGTTCTTTCTAGAAATATGCCCAGATATGGAGTGCTTCTTATGAACCAGAGATAATGTTAGAATGCCTTAGAAAATAATTATTCAAGTAATATATTTGAATATCTTAGAGTACTTTATGAAGTTTTCTTGAATGACTGAATCTCTGAACTGCTTGCTGCTATCAAATCTTTTCTCTCAGACAGTAGAAATCAGCAACCCAGCTTTCTCTGATCTCACAGTAAAGGGTATAGCAACGGATGCTCTGTAGCCCATCTCTGAACTTTCACCCTCACTCTTCCTTCTATTTAGAAATATGAAGCCTCAAAAACACTATAAAATTCTGCCTAATATACTGGGATCCTGTGTTTAAGAAGCTCACTGGACAGTGAGTGCCATAATGGCAGGCATGTTTGGGTGAGGGTAGTTAGGTGGTGTTTTGTTCACTGGTGAATTTTCAGCACATAGAACAGTGTTTTCATATAGTTAATGCATAAACAGTATTTATGAAACAAATGAAGTTTTTCAGTGGAGACAGAAAATACATATTTCATTGGGCATTTTATGTACTGACTTACAATAACACATTATCTGTTTATAAGGCAGTCTAAACGTAAGTTGACATTTGGTCGATCACTCATGGGAATGTGTACAGTGCATGGGCTATGTCACTGTTAAGAGTCTCACACAGGCCCACCTAGGTCTTGGTCTAATTTTAATTCATCTATTGCTCTGATATCACTGTGTGATGTTTAGTTCTGTGCAGCATTGCCTTAGCTCTTGCTACAATGCAGAAGACACAGTAGGTTTGGGATATTTTATTATTGATGATGCCCCTCCCCAAAAAAAGCAGAGTACATTTTATATAACATGAAATTCTTCATTATCCATTAAAATGAAAACTTTCCCCATACAAATCTGATTAAAGAGAACAATAGTAGGAGAAAGGTGTTACTATGGGAGAAATATGTAAAAAGGGGGTAAAGGAGGAGGGCCATACAAAGAACTATGGGCATGAAGGGGAAAAATTCAACTAATACACAGTAAAAAAAAAATTCAAAATGTAAGCTTTTCATTTCTTCTTCAATCAGCATCCTCATAAATAATTGGCATGATAGACTACCTACATGGACACCATCTCATTAGTTTACAAAGCACTTGCCTAAGTGGTTTTAGCTTTGCTTTCTCTTTGACCCAAGACCATTCCAAAGAACTTGTCTTTGTTACACCAAAAAAAAAAAAAAACAAAAAACAAAAAAAAACCCCAAAAACGTTTAAGGTAAATAAAATTATATAGAGTTCCAAGGATGAACATTGGTATGATCATGTCTGGAACAATGCCCCTGTCTATTAGAGACCAAGACAAAAGATGTACGAGAAGGAGTGTGCCTCAGAGAAAGGGGGCATAGGGTGAACATCTGCGGAAAGGTGGTCTGTAGCTTCTCTTAATGACTGCCTCATATTTTCAGTGTAGCAAGAACCCTACTACCATCTGTGTTTAGAATGACATGATCCAGCAAGTTCTCCAGAGAGGTGTGTGTGTATGTACACATATGTATGCACATGTATATGCGTGCATGAATGTTTGTGGATGGCTTTAAAGATAGAACTATGCTTATCAAGGATGCCAAAAGATTCTCAGTAATGGATTATGCTTTTAAGATATAGTAATACCCATGAGACACCAAAATAGAGAGAGAGTAAGAGTCGGCCTTAGACCTACCTTTCAGATCTTTCTTTTATATGCTATAAGTTACTCATTGCAGGCTAGCAGTAGTATTGTATTTTCTAAATAATTTCTTTCATTTTTCTTTTAGGCATTTCTTTCGGCTTTCTTTTAGTTTATTGGATTTAATTTTTAATCAGGCTGGAGGAGGCAGAGGTTAAAAGAGCATAGCCAAAGACTGAAGATGGAGAGTGCTGTGCTGCCTCTGACTTGGCTTCTTGGTTGTAGAATGGCCACATTTCCACAACTATTCAGAAAGCCTTTGACCCCTGCAGGAGAATGAACCCCAGGGTGAACTGCTATAGAAACCTTCCCACCCCTCCCTGTCAAGGATGTTGCAGGCTGATCAGTGGAGCCTGCAGCTCACCTGGCCTTCTGCTTCTCCACCATTCCCATTCCACACCACACACCCTCACACATTGGCTCACAGTCCTTAGGATGCTACTCCAGAAACAATTTCAAAGTCTGAAGTTGAGTATCTGCCCTCAGCTCAGAAATCAAGCCTGAGGGTATCCTGTTTGAAGATGTCGTTCAGAGAGTCTCTGATGGCTTCTTCTTAAGAGACTCAGGGATTGGTAGATTTTATTTGATTCACTTTATACCACATCCTTCGGAGGTAATATAGGCAGCTATCTGAGGCATCCAGAATGGTAGCCTGATAAATGTCAGAAGATAGTGAAATCTTTTGACTAGTAATAGCGTTGGACAGTGAAGTGAAAGTAAGTGACATCACCCAAACTCTCTTACTTATAAAATAACAATAATAGGGCTATTTTCCATGAACTCTAATGATCAATAATAATGTACTTTTCGGATTGGTTCAAAATAGCATCATTTGAAAAACAGAAAAGTTACAGCCATTATCAAAACATGAATATGTCCAACCTTTTCTCTCTCACTAAGAAGATGTACATTTAAAAGCTTAACAGGTAATCCTAAATATTTTCAATATGTGCAGAAGGAATTAATGGTTCTGTGAAAACCTTTAAGTTTACATTTCTCTCTGTTTGAATTTTCCCTTCTCTCATCTATCTTGCCTTAATGCAGAGAATCGTGTTTATTTTCAAATTTTGTGTTCACTGTGCTTTGTTTTAAACACAAAATATAAGTAATGATAGGATAAGAAATAAAGGTAAACCTTTTGCATCCTTGTGACATTGCATGAATGAGAATTTGCAAGTTCTCTTTTATACTATGCCCAGTATCAAACTGTCATCAGCAAAAACGTGGGCTTGCAGAAAACCAATACCCCCGCTGGGAGCTTGACAATTTAAAACTTTGAAAAAGCTTTCACTTTTTTTATTTTTCAATCACATCCTAAAATTTTTGAATTATTTTTTCCCAAAGAGGTACCGTTTCTTCCTTGCGTAGAATAATTGGATTTCCCTCCTGAAATCTTACATTATTGCTTTGAGGGTCAAAGGATGTTTTTTAACCTCCTGCATGATTCAAACTTGGCTGAAGAGATTTATTTCAAAATTTTCAGGATAATTGACACTTAGAAGCATGACAGTACACAAGCATATTCTTTTGCAAACTCTTGAACAAGTGGAAGAGGAATTGATAAATTAAAACTGAGTATGAATTTTAAACCGAAAGTCAAGAAATCCTTCAGCAACAAGGCAAATTGTTTACTCCACAAAAGACTAGATTTAAACACAACTTTACATCAGATATTCAGACACTGTGTGAATTTAAATTTCTACATTATGCTTTTGCTAATTTAGCATACGATGGACATTTTTCTCCTTAAAGTATGCAAAAGGAATTTAATGGTTCATAATAGGATATAAATGTGTTCTCTCTATATTTTATGACTGGAATTAAAGATGGCAGTGTTAACAGATTTACTTTATGCATATAGGTTTGTTAATACATTTTTGTAGCAACTAAGCTTTTCCGAAAATGTTTCAGTTCTGTCCATCCATCTGTCTGTCTATCCATCTACCTACTTTTTGTTGTGATAATTCCCACTGCAAGGGATTGCCTTTTGAACTTTAGCCTTCTTAGGCACAATTAATAATTTTGTGGAAAAAATATCTTTAGGCATCTGTGTGTCCTTCTGAGTATTTTGTGTATGAAGACGTCAAGGCTAAATGCTGCCTATGCCCCCTAGTTCCAGGTGCATGAAGCCAGAATCTTCAGGTTCCTGCGGCTTTTGACTGCTGATGCCATCAAAAGCCTTCTCTTCTTAGGCTCCCTAGGAGCTTCCTGTAAGTTAAGGTGCAGAATTCTCTCTTGAGAGAAACAGCTGAAATAATAAACCCAAGCGTAACAAGGTGCTGACAGAGTTCCAGAGTCCAGTAAGTAGAATGGGCAATTTAGGGACATTCCATTTTGGAGAAGGAACTTTTAGTTCCTTTAGTAGAAAGCACATCTGTGGGAGGCTCTGGGATCATGTTTCCAGGACTGTATATCAACATTGTAATGAAAGCCTCCCCCATCCTTGCTCTAACTGTTACATTCAATATCAGTCTAGCTACCTGAGCGGCACGTGTCACTTTGCTTGAAGCTGGGTTTCATTTCACTCCTAGAGTACAGTCATGTCTAGGCTAGATAGGATCAATCTCAAGTCTGGTAATCCTTATCATTAGGACCATCAGGCACTTAATGAGTATCTATGGGCATGAGAGACAGGGCTGGATGCTTTTTTTTTTTTTTTTTCAGCACCTTTTGCCTTAAGCACATTTATTACAAAAATTCATTAACAAATTCATGAATCAAGGTCATTTTTGCAGGTTTATAGTCATGCAGGATATTATTCGTG